CATATTCCAAGTTCCTCATTCCATGTTCCTTTATTCCATGCAATTATCAAGGAACTCGATCACTTCGATCTCACTTTTGTCTCTAGTGCACTTGTACTAGTCTACTTCGGCCATGCAGGAGCTCTAGTATAAAACATTTTCTGGATCGCGAGATTTCTTGTGAATTTTGCATCGAATTTTGTGACGGCTCAGTGACTCCGAAAATTACAAAGAAATGTATGGAGAACTAAAATGAGTTTACTTGCTCCCTAGATCACAGTAGCTAGATCAACAAAGTCCTTAAAAAACTGGACTGTTAAGCCCTTTTTGTGGTATCTAACGTTTGCAATTCATGATTCTTTAAGAATTGGAATTCAAAGGGAATTTTATATCACTTCAAAGGCAGATTGCGAGACTTTGCAGCCTACGCGGAAACATGGCGGTCAAAATTGGACCTGATCGMCGTCTGGAACCGCGTCTGAGAGCCGTATGCTTTTATAATATACAAAAACATTTTAAAGTAACGTTCTCACATTCATATGAAATATATACTTAAATTATACTACCAACCAGTATTCCGATCCATATCGGTAGCATCAGAAAACTGAATTGAACTTGGATGGCAGTGCGATCAACGATTCCAAATGAAAACATCAAAACGCCAATGGCTAATTGAACAACACACAARACTGTGTACAGCATCTTGGTTATGATATTTGCGGACTAAGAGTGGAAATACAAAACTTTATCTGAACTGCACAAAGTATAGCTCGCTCACCGCGCGCAGGCAGTCGTGTGACGTCTCAAAAAATAATATATATTGGGCGTGACTGTATTTGCGTCACGGTACTTGGCACCTGTGTCTCTCGCTGATCGAACAAACCAAGCAAAACTGCATGGAAAAAATGAAAATGTAGATCAAAAATGTAAATGTAATGAAATGTAATCAGTTTAATCCAGAAGATTTTATTTCAACATTTTTCATTACTTAGACCTACTTATAGTATCTTTGCCAATCAAAGTTTATATTTTTGAAGGATTGTGTGATAAGGGTCAAATTTTACCTGAAAAAATACACACTTTTAAGATTTAAAAATGAATAAGTTTTTCTGCAATAAATTAAAGTAATAACTACCATCGACACAGGGAACCCAAATATATGACGTGGAACGCCTGGCGGTGTTTGCCAAAGCTATGGCGGAAATGTGAACTCCTGGTTAACTTTCTTTTTTAGTATAGTGTTTTCTATCCCAAGGTATAGTTTAAAGTCTATTTTAGTTACCTGGACTACTAAGRTAATTTATTAGTATAATATGGCTAGTAATAATTCCAATGAAATGTCGAAGACGAAAGAGGCAGCCTCAAGTGAACTAGTCGAGAAGTGCCGCGAGCCAAGCAACGATAAGGCAAAGAACGACGATAAAACGACGAGAAAGCTSTTCCCTACCGTTGCCATGGTAAAACTACACTCTGTAGACAATATATCTTGATATAGAATCATAAAATTATATAATTTGTATTTTTTCATTTCCAAAAAAACACCAGTTTTGGTGGAATACATGTATTTTAAGCTTATGTAATCTCATCAGTTTAGAATCCCCACCCYCTCACCCCTCCACCACCAACATATCAACAATATTTCAATTTGTAGTATATCAAGTTCTATTTTTACAAATATACTTAAAAAACCTGCATTAGCCATTTTTTTGAAAATCCGTAAGCTTATAGATAGATTATATAACAGTTTTTAATTTAAACATTGAATACTGTTACTGTGGTATTGATAACTAAAATGCCAGTGACTAGCTAATCATGACAAYGCAGTCAGACCACATCGTTATCAAGTCAATGTACAGTGATAGTCGATTATAATTAAAACAGCTGTTTAAGAAAAATGTGAAATATTGTCTATGATTCTAACTTTTGCCATTAAGACTGACAAGAAAATTAACTCAGTATGGATCATTTCACATAAAATATATACCCTGGGGGCTAATAATCCATACCATTGCCAACAGCACATATCTATATATCAAAAATATGGSAGTATTCTCTGGGACCTCTGGCTGCTTTATGTCTTCTACATCTATAAATATGTTGCTTGTTTTTAGTATGGTCCATATAATCTCAAAGATTTGGAACCAGGGAAGAAAATGAAATGGTGTACATGCGGACTAAGTAAAAAGCAACCTTGGTGTGATGGTAATTTTGTTTTTGTTATATTTTTAATTATTTTTCTCGGGAAGTCTTTTAAATAAAGAAAACAAAAAAGAATGACAAGTGTTGACACTCATAGAGCATGGATCAAAATTGTTAAATAATTAACTTAAACTTAAATTTAAATTAGTTTATTTGTCTTTTCTATTYTTTTCTATTCTTTTCTTTCTTTTTTATGTTGACTCTAATCTTTTTTGAAATGATAGCAGTTAAAGTAAGTTTTTCAATAATTGCACTTATATTCAAGCAGTGCCAATTTGTTTTCATTTTTAGGAGCTCATAAAGGAACAGGTTTCAAATCATTGAAATGGAAAGTTCCAGAAACTCCACAGCGATTATACTCTATTTGTGGCTGCAAATACACAGGGTCCCCACCATGGTGTGATGGTTCTCATAATGATTTGCCTTGTAAATTCATAGCCCAAATAGAATCATGTGGTCAAATTCATAGTGACAATGTAAAACTTTGCACAGGCTGCGGTTGGGTTCCTGACTGGTGAATCAAAACAAAGAAAGACAGAAAAGTCACCAAATATATTGAAGTTGGATCTTTGGATTTTATGAATGGGAAATGGTTAAAATGTATACTGGAAAAAGGGATTGGAACTCGACCCTGTGAAGAAACATAATTTCCTTTCTTAACTCCAGGTACAATAAATGGAGGCATACTTTCAATTTTTTTAAAAAGTTTAATAATGCAATCTAATGCAATACAGTGCTGGTTATATTTAGTACTTGAAGTAATATTTTTTTCTTTGATGCAAAGTTTACATTTCCAGTGATGAAAGTTATAAAAATAGTTAAAAATATATATGTTTAAGATTATGACATCTGTAAGTAATGCACAACCTCATTATTTCAAAGTATCACAATTATCTACATTATTGGTAGAATTTTAGTTTTTACTTGTTACAACAGTATAATTAATGCTCCATGAAACTAGTTCTTATCTCAATTGAGATCATAAATATTATTTTAACATTTGACCATGACAACAGTTTCCTTGACAACAATAATTCTCATCTCCATAGAGATTATTAAAATGTTATTTCAACATGTGACCATGACAATGGTTTCCTTGGCAATAAGCAAGGACTGTTATCTGCCTAGTCTCCATGACAATGAACAAAGTGCTCTACATAATTAGTGCATTGATACAATGARTCGTCAAACTGGTTTAACCAGTTCCTTAAAGTGATTTATAAGGTTTAAGCAAAGACRAATTTGTCTGCTAGTCCTCTTTGTAAAGTGATTAGCTCGAGAAGGATCTCGTTCATTACCGTCAGCGACCATTCATCTTGTTCTTTTTGGGTTGCCTTTGGTTTTACAGTGGGGATGGGGTACTGGGCAGAGGTCACTGCTGTATCGGGGAGGTTGTTCAATAGCTCCTGTTGGGAAAATGCAAAGCAGTTTCTTGTTAATATTTCAATGTATACATTGCTTATTGTTTACTTCTATGTTCGTTTGTGCATTTGTACGTCTCTTAGTCTGTTCGTCCGTCAAGTGTACGGACCTTCTATGAGTGTGCCTTCAGTCCGTACATCCGTCTGTCTGTCTGTAGTCCGTCAGTCTGACTAGTGTCTCTCAATCCGTGGTCCGCACGTCTGTAAATTTCCGTACGTGTGTCTATCTGTGCGTCGAATGACCGTAAATCTTTCATTGCGTTCGTCYAGTCGACTAGTGTAAGTGTGCCTGACCGACGGACGCGATTTTCTACTCTTTGACTTAGTCCATCTGACTGTCTGACGCCCTTTTCTTATCTTATCTACATACATGTTTACTTACTAGTTTTCGAAGTCTTGAGTAGAGATCTCCAACTTTATGGTCAATCTTTGTAAACTTGGTTTTGAAGTCCCCAGCACGGGGGTTACTGGCTTCGTTAGCGATCATCTCTTGGAGCATGTGATGGAATTTGAAYAACAGAATGAGGTGCTCTTTGAGAAAARCCTCTTTCTGAAAAATTACAAACGAAAACTGTGTCRTTATTGTGTAAGTGACATTAATGTATCGATTTCGCTTTTCTCTTTTATCACGCTGCGATATTTATATGCTTCAGTTTTATCAGTTTAGTATTTTTGAAAAATATGTATATGCAAAGCAAATGCGTTGAAAAGAAATGCATATTACATCGACTAACGAAAAGTAACGACAATGACTCGGTCGGCATTTTCAGCTAAAGTTTGAAAGCTCGCATTTAGTTTCGTACCTTTCTTTCTCACCCCCCTATGTTCTAGAGCTTGTAGGATTTTTTATGATGATTCGTAAATACTAACGAACGATTCTTTATCTGTGTGTCTACATATTCTGATATACTTACAGACAAGGTCTCAAAGTTAGTCACTTGTTTGATTCCTTTCAGGAGGACATGGTGGTCATAGTCTTGATTCTTAAAGTTCTGCTTTTCCTTGAAAGAGAAAAAATAGTGAAAAAATTGACTGACACAGGGAAAGATATTCAGAACATATCATTTCTTTTAGAATAGTTGTTTCATTTCCACTTAGTCCTCCCGTCTCCACTGTAGCTGAGAAMAATAAGAAATGAAATGTTTTTTTTTTCTTATAGTTACGAGTGGAGATAGAAATAGCATGTTTTCCTTCAATCACCTTCAACGAAACTGAGATATTTTCAAAAAAATCGTAGTGATGGCAAAATATTGTTTTATATAGGTTTTCGCCGATCATTATTTTAACGAAGGATGAATCAATCAAAAAACAAAATTGATTTTCAKAAGTGTATTAAATATGAGTTTAAAAATAAAACATTTACTTTGCTCTTTTATCCCCCAGAAAAATTCCCTGTGTATAAATTTTCTATGGCTCAATGTAGTTACTGGAGTGAATCGCCATTATTCCCGGYACRTTAAGTTCAAGTGTTCCCGGAAGTAACGTCACATTTTACTTACAAATTCTTCATGCGTTTTAATCAAAAATGGCAGAAGATGAGTGGCTTCGCTTCTGGCGACTCTAGCCGTCGTCTTGCTGTCAACTCCCATCAAGGGTACCCCACGGGACATTGTTGCACACAGTAAGATAACACCCGCGGCTGAAAAGATAGAACACTGAGATGTAAACTTTATCGGTGAAAATGGAATGACAAAAATAAACAGAGAAAAGTGTCAGAAAAGCAGTCTGTATTAAAGTAAAAATAATAAATCAATAATAATGAAGTGCGCTAAGTTATCATATAAGTATGGTTGACTTTTGTTGCGATTTTTTTATAATCGAATTGTTTTTTAATAGAATCGAAAGCAATACATTGATAAACAATGAGAATTTTCAATAAGAATTGAAAATCAAAACTGTAAAAAAAMAACAACAACAAAACAACTATTTACCTAAGCGATAATAAAAACATACTGAAACTTTAGACACAAAAAAATACAACTGATATCAAAACTTACCAATAATTTTATCGGCCATACTTTCAAATAATTTTTTTCACGAGCTGTTTCAAAGTTTTCCAAAGTTGGATCAAATTTCCCTCTGTTTTGTATGAGKTGACGAGTGATGATCTCCATCGTTGAAGGCTTTTTATACTCACCGATCTTTCAGGCATGATTGATCTTAGATCATGAGCTATAAACTCAGACTCAAATACTTTTTGAGAAAAATTTCCCAATTTTGTTCAGTTGCAACCGGTGTTGAAGCGTCAGATTCCGTAATTTCTAAGATTGTTCTCCCCTTCCTTWATGCAAATTAGTTTATACTAAGTCATTATTGATTTCCGGTTTRTGTTGTGTACGGGCCGGTTACGCCATCAGCAGTTTGTAAATAAACTATGACGGCTAACTCAAATCTGCATGTAGTAACGACATCAGTCAACCGAATACTTATTTTTTCTTTGTATTTTAAAAGGAAATAATGACAAAAAAGAATTTAAGGAAGCTACATAGAGTCTTTTTTACGCGAAGATTATAAGTGTTCTATGTTATCAAGTGGTTTTGACTTGATAAAATCGAAAAATAAAGTTCATTTAACCGTCCAAAATATATCAAGGATAACACAGTTTATTCCTCTTTATTTTGAAGAGTGTTCTGTATCTTTTTGGTGAATCACACATCACTACATTTTGAGTTATATACTCGGATTCACGACTCGTTTTGTTCAATTCAAAGTACTCTATGTCCACTATAAAAAAAAAACGACAGTCAGTTTCCAACAAAGGTAAACAATAAAGTTCGATAACTTTCTCTTTCACACCTCGCTGAAAGTCACTCGATGTTACTCTATTGTGTGCAACACTTAGCTGCTTAGTGATAGAGAGCAAGGTGTGTCCCAATTATCGCTTATAGCGATCGAAAACTCAAATGTTTTTAACTTTAAGTGTTTTAGAGAATCTTAAAAATGTTTTTGTAGAAAGAAATAGATATGGCATTCCCCTGAAGCGGCAAAACCCTATACTATCGATATTAAACTACCCAAATGTATTCTTTAGCAGTCGATAGATGCTTTCTTTCTTAAAATACAAAATAAAAAACACCACACATTTAAAAATGGATTTAACCTTCAAGCTTGTAGTTCTCATCTCGAATTCAAGTAGTTTGCGGTTTTCGCAAACGAAAAAATGAAAGATTCAACTAAGCGAAAGCTGTAAGCAAAGCGCAAAGAAACGGAMCCAACTATATTTATAACATTAGACAAAAGATATTTTATATAATTTAGAAATATTTGTACAAATGGATGTTATGAAATGGTTTCAAAACTCAGAGTATGAAATTGAAATGTCGCGCGGTCGACACCTTGGTTGTAGATTCCTTATAGATGTGTATAATGCTATTTCACTCAAAAACTTAATAAGATACGAAATATTTTAGTATTCTAAAATAATACATTATTTTCGCATGTTTGTGCAGCTGGACAACGCCTTTACGATACAGTTCTGAATCGAGCWTTGAACAGTACCAAGCAACGATATCGACTCGGTAGTGGCGCGCTCCGCCAAAATCAATTGGACCATGTCAATCTACGGAGAACGAAGCGCTACTTTCAACAGCAAGTTATTAATTCCCAGAAATCTGTATTGTACAAGGAACTCTTCATTCAACAGTGGTTTTTCGCTGTGATAAATGTCTAAAGTCAAATTTCAAGTGAGAAAACTCAAAGTGACTTAGTAATGAATGTTTATTTACCAAGCAACGACTTCCATTGCAAATTCCTATAAAAAAAACTTAAAAGATTCCGCTTCAAAACGCGTAAATTGTATGGCAACTTTTGTCGTTTAAAGAGCTTCTTGAATCATTTGATTTGTAACCCACTCTGCTTTTCTTTAATAATCAAAATATAAAGGAAGATTATACTAGAGATTTGGGCCTTTCGTATAACTTTTACATAAGTGGTCCATTTTTTTCTGATACTCAATTTTGTGCTTTGAATTCTTTAAATCAGTAAATTACAGAGCTTTTGAAAACTATTTTTAGAGCCATTTAAATAAGGTTTTATACCAACTGCAGTCTTTCTATAAAGAGTTATAAGGGTATTATAAAGAGTTGTATGATAGATAAGTAAGCCAGAGCTCATTGGGGGTTAAATTGGGATTACGAAGGAAAAGATGTAGAGGCATGGTTGATCGACTTCATTGTCCGGCTTACACGAGTTCCCGCCGAGATACTCCGAAAAATGCACACTCAGATAGGAATACAAAAAAATTGGATTAGTAAACTTAAAAGAATTCGATCAATTTTCTTCCATCTAGGGAAGTTTAAAAAATATACCCAAATTTAAAATTTGACACAAACTCCAAGTAAACAAACAGGCTAAAAAGTTTCCAAAAGTTTTCAAAGTGAAAATATTTAAAACCGGACATCCAAATATTGAAATGCCAGTTTTATAGGTCCCAAAGTGAAAATATTTCAAACCGGACTTTCTGTTCGTTTTAGGTACAAAATTTGTTTCGAACAACTTTCTATCCCAAAAAATTTATAATTAACAAAGTGTTTTTTATAGAATTTGACGTCACTGCGATGTGACGTTGTATTTGGAAGAGAGTGTATATAAAAGCATTAAAATTATGAATAAGCGTTAAACTGAAGTTATAAGACAATAAGCAAGATTAGTTTCTTTAAGGTAAGAAATACGAGTGAAGTTTTGATTTCTATAAATGAATTTTAGTTTTGATATCAAATCATAATTAACAATGTCATGGTCAACAAATGCCCACGTATTATAACTATATATACGCATTCTGAAAACATTTTTCAATTGTTTTTGTTGTTGCTTCTCGTTGCGGAAAGAGAGCACTGTACTTCAGCGGGCCGGGTTGTTCAAAGCTCTTTGGTTAATAAGTCTGATCTTAATCGGACTTGACAAACCGGCGGTCACTAGACTTTTAGAGTTCTACTAGTTCTAGAGATTATGAAAAAAAATCACATTCCAATGAAAAAAAGGAAAAAAACTAGGATAGTTTGAAATATCACTTTTGATTATGGGTCGCTTACCATACCTGATAAGGTGTTTCAAATGATTTATATTATAAACAGCCACAGTGCAACTAACACAGTGAACAGCATAGCTGAATGTCCTGAGTGAAGGGCTGCTCAACTTCAGAACTATAGTCTATTAAGCACGGGCACAAAAATCTAACTTTCTGTTCTTAAGTCATGGTTAATTGTATGTTATCAAATTTATAGTTCTAGTTTTCTTATTTTATATTAGTGTTATACAGTATTAATTTTCTCAAACGCAGTTGTGTGGAAGTCAATTTCGTACCCAGCGCCCCTGCCCCTCTTACTGCGCGGGCTCTGGATACGAGATTGTACGAAAGTGAAAATGCTATTCATAGCACATGCGCATAACAAAGAACTCTCGCTGCCCAATAAGAACGCTCCATTATGTAACAGTGGTCTTTTTATAATACAATAGATCTTTTACAAAATCAYCATGGCACAAAATAAAGCTTTAGGCCTCAAAGTATCAATCGCCCTTCTCGCTTCCATTATGATAAGTCTAGGATCGAGTAGTATCATCGTTATACCGGCACCTACCAATCACATCAAGAGTGTCGACGCCTGGTGTACTAGCTTTACTGGGCATTTATCAAGAACTATTCAACAATTTGTAAGTAATGCAAAATAGTTGTGTAAAAAGATAAATTTAGCACCGTAAGAAAGTAGGTGAAACAACTTAATTACTGACTTCACGACGTTTTTTTTTTTCGACTTTACGTCCGAAACGTCAGTAAGTTGTTTCAACTACTTTTTTAACGGTGTTAAATTAATCTTTTTACACAACTGTTTCTTTAGAAACACCGACGCAACTCACACTAGTTTACCACTACATGTAGTTTCCACCAGTAATGCAGTCAATCAAAACCCTGACTTCTAATCCTTGGGGATAATGTTTAATGTAGCATACCAAAGATTTTGCTCTTTTTGGTTTYAGGGAAGTGTACGATTTAATAAGACATCACAAACGACGACTGCAGCGCCAGCTAAGGTAAATCTAATACATGTCAGTGTAATGAAGACTTTGAGTGATTTTAACTCAGACGTAACCTCAGCAATGTACATAAGCGCAAGCCTAAACCCAACAACAGAAAACACGTGACTAAAACTTACGCACTGCGCAAGGATGCAACAAACTGAAGTATTGTTTTTTCACATTCTTCGTCTTTGAGCGCTTTAATTACTTTCTTTGTAAGATAATACTGAAAAACAACTCACTGCTTCCTCTCAAAAGGATTTTCATGAATTTTGCAACGTAAACAAAAAAAAAAAAAATGAATTTTGGAAATGTTACAAAGGGCTTGCCGGTAAGACTGGCACTAGTAGTTGCTAAATTGGTCGATACATCACCTCTGCGTTTGTTTCTTTTTCACTAACACCAAAGTTTCAACAGACGGATTGATGTGCAAATAACTGAATAAAGTTTCCTTTTTCATCTTTATAACTGAGTAAATTATAATACGTTTTTTTGTAGGAGTCCATGAGATTGGCCTTCGATCACCGGGATTTGAAAATCTATTCCATTCTAYTGGACGACGTCATGAACGTTGCTGGAAATGTAACTCTAGTCGGGGCACGAATCCAAAGCTGTATATCCAGAAATAAAGTAGGGATGTCGGCTTTGCTTGGCGCCATGGAATTGTCTGTAAGTACAAGTCGTCCAAACTCTAGTTTTGGGCTGTTTGATCAGATTAACGAAACTAACTTATGATGCAGATACATCCTCGCGGCAAACTCGGATGACTCGCGTGTAGGGAATGTCCGCACACTCAAACTTTTCAATTTTCTAGGCTGTGAAAGTATTTTCTCAGGATTCTGCATGTAGCCAGAATTCATGTTTTTGTGATCGATTAAGTTTCAAGCCGTTCCAGTGCAACTTTTTTTGTTTAAACATTTTCTAAATTACGCCTTCAACCAGTTTCAACCAGGCTATACTAAATATTGCGGTTTTTGTTTAAAAAAAAAACATTTTATTTTTCAGAAGCTATATCTCAACGGCACCATTCCCACCCACCCTGTGGTKATTTCAAGTTCTGCTCCGATTCAGACTTACAAGAACATCGCTACTCACATGGCTGCTCTGAAGAAACAGTTTAAAGACCTTGCCCTGCTATACTCAAACTTTTTCACTGCCTCTGTTATTGTAAAGCCAGTTCATTGAAAAACGAAGACCATGGCGTAAAATCCCTTAATTCATTTAATCTAAAACTAGGAAAAGATTTGGAACCATGGATACATGGACGAAGGAATGKCGGAGCAGATGGSCTAACTAAGACACCTTCAACGTAGTAAAATAAAACATATATCAGTAATTTTTTAATACCAATTAAAAATATGTTTATCTGAATTCACGTTTTTACAATTTACTCTAYGAAAATATGCTTTTTTGGGTTTTGAATGTGCGAAATTTTACGAACCAACAACACTTGCTTGTTTCATATTATTTAAAAATGCTTTAACATCACACAATACACACAATTTACACCATACTGTCACACTAAGACGTCACGAGATGACGCATTTAGGGCCTTTAAAGGCCGATTTAGACGGTACAACTTTTGCCTCCGCCAACTATCGCATGCAACATGCGTAAGTCATCCTTATAACATGGCTACAACTGTCTTAGAGATTAAAACAATTGTTTGATAACCCTACGACAGTTGTAGCCATGTTGTAAAGATGACTTACGCATGTTGCATGCGATAGTTGGAGGCAAAAGTTGAAGCGTCTACGTAAATCGGCCTTAAGGCAAGTTCCATATAATTGGGCAAGTTCCATATAATTGTCTTATGTAGTAGCTTGCTGACTCAGATAGTCGATATAGTTCGGAGTTAAGATATCTGATGCTTTCAGACACTGGTTGACACTGTAGGTACAGTCAAGGGAGTTTATATTTTCTGAAAATAGAAAATGACTAATGATTAGATAGAAAACTTACTCCATTAAAGATGAATTAGACGGCACGACTTTAGTGCCTAAAACCATCGCATGCAACMKGCCCAAGTCGTCTTAACAACATGCCTACAACTGTCGTAGTGCTATTAAACAATTAATTTTGAATCTCTACGACAGCTGTAGCCATGTTRTAACGACAATTTGGGCATGTTGCATGCGATCATCATTGCTAAGGRTTTCATCATTATCATGATCATCTGGCATCATCAACCCTTGCATCCTCATTAACATATTATCACTTGGCATCACTTCTTTAAGTAGTAATTTACATCAGACTAGTACCCAAGCAGCATTCCTTACAAGCGCGGGCGGGTGCTCAGATGAGGGGGTGGACCCGCCGAGGGGGGTCACTTTTTGACGTCACAAAAAAATCGAGAAAACTCTGGGTACGAGGCCGCTTTTGCATTACTTTCTATTGCTATTCACTGACTACGACTAGCTCACCATATTCAACCCATTGCTGTTCAGCTACATACAATACAGCTGGGATACAGTACTGAGCAACACCATGTTGGTCAGGATCGTGACAGTTGCTCATCCAAACGGGTAACACAACACGGCAATAATGCTGCAACAAACGTGACAGATTAGCTTGACAGATTAGCGTGACATGATRGGTGATGGGATGTGATGGGATCCATCGACGCAACACGGTAGACGTGACACATCACCGTGACATGATAACGTAATGCGGTCAGTTGATACACTAACGTGACATTATTTTTCACCATGACATGATAACATGATGGGATATATATAGACACACCGTGGCCGCAATCAAAATTATCCAAATACGTATCATCATAGCTTCCTCCGCAGGCATCAATAAGAATCACGGGCTTGCTGTCTTTTTGGRGGTCAAAAGAGGGAGAATGGGGGCGAGAGAGGGGCGTCACTAGTCCCTAGCGGCCAAGATGACCATTAAAAAGGAATCCCAAAGGAGGAAAAAAGAGTTGTCTAGGCAGTAGGTTAGTATCATCATACCTTGGGATATCCCATACAGTTGTCCAACATGGACAAGTCAGCATCGGTAATTGTGTAGACACAACCCTCTACAGAACTACCAGGACTGAACTCAACATTAGCAAAGCCACCAGCATCATTAGAAGACCCTGAAATAATTGAAAAATACATGTAATTAGAATAAATGAATTGAAAAATGAACGAAAGAATTAATGAACAAATGAGCAGTCATAATCATTTACCTTTTTTATTAAAACGTAACTTAAATCCAAACAGTACTCCCCATAAACGTTTATACTCTCGTCGCAGATAAAGAGACATTCTAGAAAATATCAGTGAATAGATTTATGAATAGATGTATGAATAAGATTTGCATGCTCAGTGAGCAGTCACAATAAGTCTGATTTTAAAAGGCAAGGATTAAAGAAGGAAGGAGAGAAGTAAGAAAGAGCGGAAAGAATGAAAGAATGCACGATGTACCTTTTYGCATTCATGTCMACWCCATAGGCAAAGTAAAAGAGGTAGCCAGGGGGYGGCTGGGCATTGATTGTAAARTTCAATGGTTCATATGGACAGCACTTGAAATGAGAATTGGTTGTTCTGAAACACACCAAAAACATTGTCAAATGAGAATTCTGAAATGAAGTAATATCAGATTAGAAGGAAAGAAAGAAAGAAAGAAAGAAAGGGAGGTAAGATGGAAGTGGAAGGAAGGGATGATAGAAGAATTCACCTTGGGTCGGTAAGGTGCTTTGCCTTTGCCACTACCTCAAGGTCTTCAAGTTTCACACTAAAGAAAAAGAAAATCACAAAACGTTTTAAAACATCAAAACTTACAGTTGTCAAACTGTGTGTTTTTTCACTTACAATTTAACTTCCTCTTCTTGTCTCTCATGCTTTAAAGTATCATCCATACTTTTGTCAGTACATGTAGTTTGTGATCTGGATAATCCAGGCATAGTTTCAAAGCCTGTGTCATCACTKAACTCTTTGGTATCACTACCTAACTCTAGAGTGTCCTCAGTATGTTCTGACAATGAGTCCATGTCATAAGTACTTGTGGACTCCATTGTAAAGAAGACTCCTGAAGATGAYGAAGCCCCAATTTCCACAGAATAAAGACTTGTGGATTCTTTATCTTCGTTAATATCTTCTACTTTATCACAATCTTTTTCTTTACCTTCATGTTCGTTATCATTATATTTCATTAAAGCTTTTGTGTTCTCCTCAAGTGTTCCRRAAGTCTTGTCYTTTTTGGCTTCTTGTATAATGTGAAATTGCTCAGTGAAGTACCCTGGCAARTCAGCAGAAAATTTCTTACTCTCTTCAGTGAGATATTTCTTCAGTAATTCAGTTTTGTCAATCTGTTCATGGTGCTTTCTTTTAGTTTTTCTTGATTTTCCAGATGAAACCCTTTGTTGTTGTTTACTCCTGGGAGGTTTTGAATCCATGTTGCTTGGAAGATCAGAACTTGTCTTCCTTTGTRGTCCTGCAGACTGAACTTTACGTGCTCGCGATGAGAAGGTCAGYTCATCCTTTGAAGAATCAGAAGATGCATTCATACTGAGATTCAATTGGTCAAGGTTTTTCCATATCAAAGCCGACGGTATTCGATCAGTGTCTTCTTCATCATTGCACTCCTCAATAACATCAGATTCTTGTGCTGGATATTCGACATTGTTTATATCTTCACTTTTAAATGATTCCGAATCAGTTCCTGGTTTATAATTTCCCGACTTATCTAATTTACCCCTGACATGTATTGTTATTAGGGGTGAAACATTCCTGGATGTGGAATCTACTATATGCACAATACTATCATTGACTGATTCTTGTGTGAAATTATTTTCCTTAATAAGATGACYCTCTTCTGAGGAATTTGAAAACTTTGTACAGTGACTCAGGATACTTGTCATTCTTTCACCAACAATCTCATTTATTAGTTCTTCTCTCATTTCTTTTCGGTTTGTTTGACTTTTCACCTCATTTCCATTACCATTTTCTTTTCTCCTAGAACCTGATGTATTTGAGCCCCAACCTTGAGTTCCTGATTTGCTTGAATTCTGATGATTATAACTTGACAGTAAAGTTCTCTTACTATTCTCATCATCATCATCACTGTTACTATCATTATTGCCTTTATTCTCACTAAATGGCTTGCAAGTTTCATTATCATTTGTTGAACCTATAATTTTAGAAGTCACTTTGTCCTCTGCATCACTCTGTGTGTCATGACTGAAATGCACAGTTGTCTTTTGATCTTCTATGACATGATCTTCATCAAGATCAGAGCCTTCAGGTTTCTCATCACCACTACTACACAATGATCCCTCTTGATCCCTTTGATCTCTTGGATCAAAATGATCATGAGTTTGCTTTCGATGATCTTCATCAAGATCAGCTTCAGGTTTCTCATCGCCAATACTGCCTAATGATCCCTCTTGATCTCTTGGATCAAAAAGATCATGTGTTTGCTCTCCATTAAACGTGTGTCCACTCCAGCTTTCTGTCACATGTTCATTACTATATATGGTATCAATAATGTGATCTGATAAGCTATCGTCAATCACTGACGGCACTCGTGAGGTACAGTGGACAGAGCTCTCTGGCCTATGTAGTTCTGTAGGGCTTCCTGGTCTAAGTGATGGTGAGTGGGTGGTATAGGATCTATTGTCATAGTAACAAAATGGAGCTGTTGGCCTGCCTTTCACTTGTCCCCCTGTATACATGAATATTGAGAATCAAAATAATGATTAAAAATATGAAACAGTGACTTCTTTACACAGTAAAAAAACTAAACTGAAATAAACTGAAATGTCAACTGGATATCATCTCTTGACAAATTATATTTTTTGACCTATATTTTATTAGTTAACTGACAAAATGTGCTTTGTAAGTTCTTTCTCTTTTTAATCTACAAACACACCTCCTTGGATTCCTCGGCATTGATTAATTGATGGTCCTGACCCACTAATTGGTCTTCCTGTGGTCTTCAGCCTTAAATTGAAAACAATTTATTAATTTGATTTAATGACTTGAATGATTTATAAAAAGGAAAAAATCTACATATTAACAGCCCAAAAATGATGGACCACTGTAATCAAAACAAAGTGAAAGAATATCTCATTACTTGGCCTTTCTCAGCCTTGGAGTGTATATAGAAGAATGTGGAGGAGGTTTTGGTCTTCTAAACTGCTGTCTGACTTTATCTATGCTCTCTTTAGTGACTTTTTTAAGCTGAATACTTGGATCCACAACCTGAAAAATTACAATTTAAAATATGTAGTAACCAGTTCAACAAACAGACAAGGACTGGAACACTTGAAAGGTAGCTATGTCTTTGTATCAAAGCAAGACAACTAGTGAGTATGCAATAATAGAAATCATTTTCACACCATTAGATAGTTTTTTCATGGTTCAAAACGATCATTACACCCTCACTGGACACTTCTTGTTGGTGAAAAGGCATGAATACCTTTTAAAATATTGCAATGGAAAATCATCCAATTTCTCCTTCTCGTTCAGCTTCACCAGTTTCCAGAAATTTCATTCAAATTCTAAGAATCCCAATATCACTGATCGCTACTATATATTTACCTTGGTAGGTCCTTTATTAGGTATCTGATAGCCCTGTTTGAAGGGTGATGTTATGTAGCAATTCGGCTTATCCACAAGTACTTTGTATTGGCTAGATTTCTTACTTGTACCACTGGAAGGATGAGACGAGTACAACCTGCCATCATCAGCTATAACAAATGGCGGCAGGAAATCAATCAAAAACTATCTTTAATATTTTTTTGTTTTCAAGATATCTTATGAATATTCATAAGGTTAGTATGAAGGAATGACTTATTTACAAATGTAATTCTTACCTAAACTAAGTTCTGAAAGTCTTGTATCAATACTCAAATGTGAACCAGGTTGCTGGAATACAATAAAATTCTTATATTTAAGCTTTACGCTTATGTTGGAACTTTGTCATACATACATGTAAAGACTACTTAAATTTATACACTGGAAAAAGCAATTGAATTTTGAGTAAATCACATACCTGATGATTTGTGCCACTAGGCGGCCTAATTTCAAGTCCATTCCCCAAGTATTGCCCTTCAAGATGTTCCCTATATTCTTGATCGAACTCAGAAGAGACAGACGATGACTTTCGCGACTTTGTTGTCGTAGAAAAGCGTTTGTTTTCTGACTTACCGCTCCAACTTCTGTCCACCATTTATTAAATACAGATCATTCAAAGATACGTCGTTTGGTTTACAAAGTAATTAGCTTCATCGAAAAATTGTAAATAATATAATAAGCGTTTATCAATAGAAAAGTACAAAAAACTTTGAAACATAGGACGCCATTTTGGTTGCTAGACTCGACCCGCTAAGAATCAAGGGAAGGTCAACAGAACAGAAGCCCAAGGTATGCTGGGAAAATTTCAAAATGGCGGCTGACGCCACGTTAAAGCCTTCTTGTCAAAAATCCCACGACAATCTGTTCTTTGACTACGTTGGAGACCATCCAAAATGGAAGCCAGTATCTCTAACTCACGTAGAATATCCTAAAGGTACGTTGTCTCGGTGAACTTTTGTTCTAACCTAAACAATAGCTACGAATTGTCGAGGATTCTCAACGCTCTTCGGAATTTTGATAACTGGACGTGAACTTTTTACATAATTCTTCACCATTTCCTTCATTTCTTTTTCGTATTTTTGTAATTGAATTTAATGTAAAAATATCATTATTATTTTTTACTTGCGTTATAAGGCTTTATTGGTGTCTACATTTATCAAAACTGAATTCTTTGTGTTGTTTGTGTGTCATTAGGAGATTACCTGGGATTTGCCTTGGCATGGTGCAGTCTGATGCCCATTCATATAATCGTTGGAATGATAACTTTAATAATATTTCGTAGAGAATTACATACGGTGAGTAGACTGTTACATAAAATAGTTATAAAAACATCGGTTATAGTACAAGAAACGTTAATAGAAGCTCTGGTTTGGGATCCCTGTGGTTGTATTTAGCAACAGCAAAGATGCTTTAGAAGTAATCATGAATTATATTGCATGTGATCATCAGAATATCACTGGTTAAGACCAAATGTTTTCGACCATGTTTGTGGTGGAGGTTATTTTTATAGATTTTTATTTTTGAATAAAATTCTAATTGTAAGCAAGTAATGCTGTTGTGAATGTTCTCAGGTCTAGGATAAGTCAATGAAGACTCTATAATTGTGGGTTTTCTTTCAGGTGACGTTTCTTGGTGGTTTATTTGTAAATGAAATATTAAATATGGTAGTAAAACACACTTTGGCTCAGGCAAGACCATGTGCAAATCACATTTATGAACACTCTTCTTATGGAATGCCATCAGATCACTCACAATTCATGGGATTTTTTGCTGTATATATGGTACTCTTTATATATTGTAGGTAAGTCTTCGGCACTTCAGCAACATGGGTATTTTGGAATACACCATAATGCACTTTTTTGAACCTCTCAACTCAAACTACATTATATTGAAGTCAGTTGAGTAATCTTTTACTTAGAACAAGCACTATTGAKTGGCTCTGGGGGATTCTACTTTTTTTCTAATTCATGATAGATTAAAAATGTTTTGAACTCACATTGCTTTTAAGTTTGGTGTCAGCTCTCACTTGCTTCAGTTTTCACACACACTATAAACATACTTTTTTCTCTGGCATCATTACCACACATATTACCACACATTTATTATTTCTGTTTTGAAAATGGTTTCTGTACCATTTCTAAACTAAAATGCTTGCTAAACTTTTTTTTCTTTTTTGGTGTCTTCTTCAAAAAAAACCCAATCAAATCTAATTTGCATAATTTATAACACAAAATGTTGCAAATTCAGTGATTCCCCCAGCTTTATGGCATCAGCAGACTGCTGACATCTAGCTGTGAAGACTTTGGGTTTGCAATCAAATAATTTCAAACAATGTGTGTATTTTTTTCAGGTTACACTATTCCCAATCCACAACAATGTGGGATGATTTACTAGATAATTTATGGAAGCATGTTGTGGCTTTTGGCACCATTGCATTGTCATTAGCAGTTGCATTTAGCAGGTATTGTGTCAGCCTAGTGCCCAGGCATTCCTTACAAACACAAAGGAAAAGGCCTGGGTAATAGACCATTATATTGTGTATGATTATCTTAATCCTTCCTTTGTTGTTCTTCCTTTTGCTGTAGTCTATTTTTTGCTACCCTCCATATTAAAGGGCTCAGAAATATTTGACAATCACCCCCCTGCCCCCCCCCCCTCCCTAGAGTTTTCATAAGATGATGAAATACAGTAGATTCAACTAACAAAGCTGTCAGGGAATTACTGAGGGCCAGAAAGCGGTTCCTTGTTATTTTCTTGGTTTGTTCACACTGAATCCTTGTCAAAGTGATTATTTTGTGGTCATATTGCAGAGTTTATCTGAGATATCACGACATTAACCAGATATCAGCAGGGCTGGTCATAGGAGGTGCCATGGGTGTGGCATGGTTTATTTTTACTCAGACAGTATTAACTCCAATGTTTCCAGTTATTACAGCATGGTGAGAAAATACAATTATGATGATGATGATGATGATAACAATGATGAAAGTAGGAATGGTTCCTTATTGACGCTTATGAATAATGCATGTGATTGACAAAGTATAAACTGAAGCATACTGATTTGCCACCTTGTGTTTCATGATCATGATAATTATGATGATGATGGTAATTTTGATACTAATCTGATGAAYATTATAATAATGATGATAAAATGACACGATTTCCTTTTTTCATTCCACGAATAAATAGCTGATAAGAATATCTTCAGTAATTGTTATTAATACATGTTCTTTTGTCTTTGATTGTAGGCCTGTTGCAGAATATCTCATGTTGAGAGACTCAACTCTTATTCCAAGTGTCATGTGGTTTGAATATACCCAGTCAAGGGCAGAAACAAGGTATGCTTTCAATTTGCAATGCCAAGAATAAGGAACACTTTTAATGTGTACAGTCATGTATGTTCATTTAGCTGCATTTCTGTAATATTTTTAGAAGAGTGTGGATTATTTACCGTTGTATTCAAAACACATTTCTTTATCTCTTGGCATAATAGACTTCTACTGTAGCTAGAAAGATTGCTCTAATACGCTACTAATTTTGGTTTGTTTGTATGTTTATTTGTTTTGTTTTCTTTTTTCATTTGGGTGCTTTACTATTTTCTCTGTAAAAAGCTAAGGATCAGATGTGTTTTATGGTAGTGATTGTAAAGGAAGTGTGAAGTGTGTGTGAAAATGTTTATCCTTCAATTAATGGACAGACTTCAGCATACATGTGCATGTGTAGACAACCACTAGTTTATCAGTTATTCATACTATGAATTGTCAATCAACTTTATTATAAATAAAGTTGATTTTAATTTTATGATCTCATATCCACATAATAAGAGCATTAACTACCATTATAATACATATATAAACATTAATTGTATTAACTATATTTGTTAGGAAACGGCAGAGAAGAGGATCTCACAATAGTTATTACAAGTCACATTCTCAGTAAGACCACATGAAGGTGATATAATCAATCAACCAAGAAAGGTCAGCAGTCCATCCAGGAACCAACTGCCCGTCAAGTTACCCTAAAGAGTGATCAAACCCTTATATCCAACCATAATACGCCCTTGCCTATTTTGCATCATTCTTGCATTGATGCAACGATTTTATAGAATTTTGATCAAAGTCGAAAATCTCCCCAATAAAACCATATRATACATTGACTAGGGCTTTGGAGAATTTGCTTTCTGAACATTTGGAAAGTCCATATAAATTATATCAACTAACAGTAGTATTTCTTCCAATTTATCTGACATGCATTTGCATGTCTAATAGAATTAGACAACTTTGACACTTGACTATGCATGGAAAATAACAAAAGCTGTTATTACATGTAGTTCAAGTGTCCAATATTTTATTTAGCAAATGAAAGGGGAATATTTGTTCTCTTAAAACAAATATATCATATCATACCTCTATATTGATTTATTCATACTGTTAGTCAATCATGAGCCGTTTTATAGTTTGAGATACATGTGTAACATCATTATTGTACATGATGTACATGTATTGTACAGTTTGTACATGAAAGAAACCATATTTATCATATAATTATCTATGAAATACAGTMCTATATTTCTCACTTTCAAAAAGGTGGTATTTTCACATTCAAGTGAAAAGAACACATTTATGGTATCTCTATATATATTGGAGGACTGTTATTTTACGATGTAATCTTGTTTCATAGAAAATTATGATGATATAACCAGAATATTACATGGTCGCTTGGAGATATTGATTTTACCTCTTGTGTATGCTATGCTCACTTGTGAGAAATCTTTTCAACACTCAAAGATAAAATCCATATCCCTGCAGGCACATGTAACATTCTATGTTGCATGTACAGATCATTATCGAATTGATGAGCCTTCCTCACAGTCTTGAAACTCCAAAACAAAGCTGGAATAGCTCCCTCTCATGAAACCTTGGTGCATGCCCTTGTAAAGACTCCTCAAAACCAAGCAAACTCCACTTAATGATGCAGGWAGATCTTTTYGGTTCGTGGGGGTTTGTTCCCACAACCCTAAAGCCTATGTGCTAGCACTGTATCACCATTTTCTGCTGTGATGTATTGCTAGTTGCCCRCTTCTTGTTTTCCATTTTTGCCATTTTATTTAATAGCGTATTATCAAATATGATTTTAGAGCAATCGTTAGCTTGATAAACAAATAAGTCAARCCAAAACCACATGAGCATTGGAAAACTATTCTTAAATTATAAATTGGCTTATATTTGAGAAACAATGAAAATATTAATTATTAATAATCAATTGATAATTTATTCATGATATAGAAATATGTGCTGCAATTACATTTTGTGCTGCAAAGGATGATGGRRGTTGTAGTCATCACACTTTTTCATGTCCACTAAAATAGTTTCCTGAAACTGTTCTTTTGTTTTTTCTTTGCAAACACAAAAGTAGCTGTGCCATTTCTACAAAGAAAATTTGTAGATTTTTAAGGGGATCAAATACATTGTAAGTACAAGGACTGCAGGACCAAAGTTGCTTTGTTGTTCAAAATGGCCTTGCTGCACATTATCTATTYAGCATTGAAATTTTCTCTGATCTTTGTTTCACAAAAACAAGGTATTGTTAATTGTTTCTGTAGAACAAAGTTCACTCGACGTWTAAGATATATAATTCCTGGTTTGCAATCATTGATAACATTGAGTCAGTTTGAATGAAGAAAAGGCAGTCAGTTGGTTGGATGAATGTTAGGTAAAAGCTACAACAATAACTTTGAATGGTGAAAATTTGTTTTACAGACTCTCTTGGGAGTGATTGCAATTAAATCCATCAATAGCAACATTAGTACATTGTACAACTAAGATATTTATGCATCAGTCTTTTGAGACCTGTGCCTCAGCTGCTAAAGAAACATTTCAAATTTTCATATTGTTCTCACAGTGTTTGTGCTGGAACTCTGAGATATAATTTGCTTCCTTCRCCTGTCAACATCTTTGATAGTACCAAATTTCCACATAGAGTATCCCAGAAATAACTTAAGAGGAAATTATACCCTCTTTGTTGTTCTTTGCGTAAAGACTTATGAATCAGTTGTATATTATGCAGCTTGCACTTGAGAATCAAAATCAAACATCTATTAAAAAAATTGCTGCAACTGAAAGGAGTGTCATAAAATTTGTTATTTTGTGATGTTTGTGCATATTACCATATTACTATAAAAAATTGAAATACAGCAAAAAAAGGAACATTTGTCATCCTAATACACATTTCTTGCAATATATCTTTTCAAGTTAACAACATGCATATTATGTGCAAACATGGCAAAAAAAATACTAATTTTAGAACACTTTTTTCAGTGACAGAAAACTTTTTGTAACTGCAATCTAAATCTCAAAATAGTAAAATGGGTCATTGTCAAATGTGACTACAACTACCTTTAAAAGAATATCAGCTATTATATTAGAAAATTATATCCAGAATTAGAAATGCAAAATGAAATTTTGGGGGTTTTGGCTTCAATTGATAGATGCACTACTCTTATGTTTATTAAGGAAAATTAATAGTAAAATGGGTTGCCATACAAAAAAAAGAACTATGATAGGAAAATGATGATACTAATGAATGCTAGTTGAGACATACATAGCTCTTTCTCTATTAGAATAATATACAGTGGTTTGAAGAATGCTGAATGCTAATATACAGATATCAATATACAATTAAAACATATTGAACTAATCATTAAACTTTAGAATTCAGTATGTTTTTATAAATGTGAATAAGCATAATTTCAAAGAGCTTGATTTTTAATTGCAATCTTTTTTAGTGAGAAAAGAGTGGTAATCACTAAACAGGGTTCGTGCTACTCCTTTAAATCCTTGAAAACTCGTGGAAAACTCCTTTTATCAGATGAAATTGACAAGTGTTGCTTTTTATTGTTTTGATTGAAATGAGCTATGTTTACAAGAAGTAACATAAAAAAGTCCTGGGATTTTGTAGTGAATATGTACCATTGATATAATACAGCCTTTTGCAAAAATTATGAGAATTGTCGAAATATCTAAATATCATAATATCGAGTGCATGATGAGTAATCCCGCGCGATGCCCTTTAAGTCCCTTGTCTTTGTAGTTTAGTTTTTTTTTTGGCGACAGAAGACTTATCCGTAGTTCTGAACATTTTCTCGATGTCAACAATGAATTATTCTAGCAAACCCGCGTGTTCCGGACAATATATGGATATGGATATTATGATATTATGATATTTAGATATTTAGACAATTCTCATAATTTTTGCAAAAGGCTGTACAATACGATATATCATTATATTTTAGCAGCCAGAATTTTTGCAAATGACTGTATAGCGCAATATCTAGAAACATTATTTAGTATTTAGTACTTTAATTGAATAGTCGAGTACATAGAATAGAGACAAGATAAAATGTAAATACTTGTGATAGAATATGATTAGAAACAAGAAATCCAACAAAAGTATGGTAACCCTTCATTTTGTTATTTTGTCCAAACATTAGGGCACAAAGTATTTTTTGACTGGATACTTTTTCCAGTTACATTCAATTTTACTTAGAAAAAATTCAAARTTGTGGCCAGACAAGAATTGTATTAGTTTTTATATGTTTTGTTGATTGTAAAAACTGAAGTAATCAAAATTATCTCCAAGTCATTACTTAAAACTGTAATAGTCCTTTTCAAACCTTACTGCAAGTCCATGCAAGTTTGCCTTKAAAAGACTTGGGACTGAGTGTTCACATGAGAACATGAGAAGATTGACTTGTGCAAATTTGATGAGAAATCTTTGTAGGGACCCCAGGGAAGTCTTCTGTGGTGATAGAAGATCACCAATGGGCACCCAAGGGTGAGCAAGTAAACTGAAAGTCTTGTCATTGTTCAGCCTTGACATCTTTTTTGAACAATATTGCCATGTAAATCTATTTTATGTGGTGTGATAGTTCACTCAAGAGGCCCATGCCACTGAATTCACATATCAAACTAAATGGAGCCTGAAAGTAGGACTCTTCATGTGGCATAATTCACTTCTGTAATACTGGATCCCTAATACTGTCTAATCTTGCCTCTTCGTTATTATATATAAATCCTTTCTGTCATATATATGTACACAAATACCATCACAAGTAATGGATTCCTGGTAAAGTCATCTGTTACTATCATTGTGTAAGCCAGTCTTCAATTAAAGACTTTCTGACATTACAGAACTGCAGTGATTTGCAAGGAGTTTTATTTCGTGTAGTCTTGTGAATTAATGAAAACGATTTTCATTGCATTACAGTACTTTGATGATTGTTGTAAGGTCTCAATATTTTATTTTTGTTTTTAGTGCTATCCCATATTATCTACTAATAATAATACTAATGTTGCTGTTTGATCTTACGGCAAGCAAAAAAATCCTATTAACAGAAAATATGATGTTCTTCAGCCTCTTTAATTGCAGCCATTAATTCTAGGTGTTGTCTGACTCCAATAAAGGCTGCAAAAGAGGCTAGTCTCAGCCAGATTGTGGGTAAACCAGCACAAAATTTGGTTGTCAAATGCAATGAACTTTTAATGTCCAATATTTGGCTTACTCTAATTATTTTTTCCAACAATCCAACTGTGAGCAAGTGAAGTTTTTGTAAACTTTAAAGTGTTTGTCTTTCGTCAATGTCATGTTAAATATTCCTGTCAATCAATTTGCGCGTTCCGGAAATCGCTTCGTCGTTTTGTATACTGGGTGGCACGGGTGGCCTAGTGGTTAAGCTGCTGGTCTCTCAACGCTGTGGTCCGGGTTCGATTCCCTGCCCATACTAGGGACAAAGCTAATAAATTAAATTATAACATATTCTGTATAAGCTTGTGTTACATTTGATTAAATGGTGGTTATGTAAGATGAACGACTCATCGGCAAATTTTTCTTCTTHATGATGTGACACTCTAAAAGACTCTTCAAATACAAATACAAAGCATCGTACTTTGCCATGTGAATATAGAGTCTAGAAATGTTTCAAAGTTCTGCCTTATGTACTGTAAACTACATTCTTTCATTTGCCTCTCTGACTTGCTCCACTTCGAACCTAGCTCTTCGTCTGCCAAAGCAATAGCATACGATGAAATCAAATATTTCGATGATTGTAAGAATACTGCATCCCAAAAACAGACCAAGATAGCCTCCAACGTCAGCTGAAAATGAATGCAAAACATACATCTAACAAATACATTGTAGATGAGGCTTTGRCAAGATTATGAAAATTTCSATCTATCTTTTAGATGGCTTCCACACCTCCTTCCCCTTCAGCATGATAAACGCCTTCATGAATTGGGTTCTCCCCCACCATACATTTTCCTTGTACTACGAGTTGATAATCTTAAGGCTCTGCTATCACAAATCCAATATTATGATTGGCTTTAATTTTGAACTATATGGTCTTTTCATGTTAGACCGATGTTCGAAACCATGGTGACAAAACCGACAAAAGTAAAAAAAAGTCGAGAAAATGTTCCGGCTTATTATTATTTCAAATTTGTCCTGTAGTTTGGTAGATATACTAATATAAGTGAAATCACCCTTACAAACTGAAGCAAGAGTCACGATTTTACTTACATACAAATGCATTCAAGTCATAAGCTTCTATTTCAGCAGTTCTGAACGTGTGGAGTTTATCAAAATGTATGACTACACCGAGGTAACTATTTCTGAAAAAGAAGGAACTTATTACTCATTTTAACAGTTTTGGGAGGGTTTGGGCGCTTTCCATTCGACATTTTTATGCATTGCAGGTTGGTCAAGGAAAATGAACAGAGTGTGACACTAATAACACTTTAATATTTCTCTGTACTAGCCAAGCAAGAGTAGAGAGTTTTTCAATGCCGTATTTTTGTTTCCGGTTCCGGCGSGACGCGCGCGCTCGCGTTCTCAAACTTTCCCGCTCTTTTTTCGACTGCTTTCTTATATACACTCCGCTTTTGGATTTTATTAGAAAGCAAAAAGAACAAAACAGGCGTGAAAATTTGTCTGCGAGAAAAAGATGCTAGAGGAAGTTGGCGAACGGTATGGTAAGAATATTTATATTTTATAGTTTTTTAGTTATATTGTACACCAAAACCCTTGTAGTCGGCGGCGACCTCGCGAGGTTTCGCCTTCGTTCAAACCTTTGGGTTTTTCTGCGACATAGAGCCTTCTCCTGATGAAATTTTGTATTTAAATAGCCCAAATGGAGTTGATTGATCTGYGAAACTTCGCTATTGGTCACAGCAAACGAAAACTTCGTGTTTTCGCTGTAAAACACAAAATAGATAAACTTAAGCTTAAGTTTAACTTACGCTATGCCATGTTTAACTTCATCAACGATTGTCCTTCGTTCGAGTTCRTTCTTGGTCGGATAAAGAAACGAGGATATTGCACGGAAGTCCTCCCAAAATGACCCGGACAAAGCATAGGCCACTGGGTTGAACTGTTCAATTTTATATTGGACTTGCTTGCATGGCTTTGGGCAGTCGCAKTCTTTTTCAGGATTGTTGCTGGTGAAAGAACCGCCTGCAAAAAGTAAAGTTCCRAAGGATTTTATCATTATTAYGGTAAASCAAKTTTTCTTTTTTTACTAGGATTGTTATGCCTACCGAATGTTGTGAAATGTTTTCCCAAAATAGTTTCTATTGTAAATTCTCTCTGTTGTACTTCCGGCGATTCCGTTGAATCATCAATGCCATCATCATCAATGCCATCATCATCAATGAGACAGTTGGTTAGCTGCTGTGGGCGGCAGTACGTTGTACCATTAAATTCTGAAAAACAAGTACAATTTTGAATATCCAATAAAAGGACATTGGCGGATCCAGGATCCAGGGGGGTGCACTAAAATGGCGCCAACTTTTGGCGGGAAATTTGCTTGACGGATTAGTTTTGAGAACCTATCATATATTTTGGATCTGGGGGTGTAACGAACGTCAAAGGCGGGAGTATTAAGGGAGAATGCCCCCCCCCAGAAAATTGTGATTTTTTTTCAAAATTTGAAATAAACTCTTGGAAATGGGGCTATTTCTAGCATTTTGAGAGACATCGAAAATTATGAATGAAACTTAAGGGCCCCCCATCTGTTAATTAGGTAATTTTACTTTGAGCCCCCCTATTTTCCCATCAATTTTATGTAATGCCCCCCCTCTCTGGTTTTACGCCCCCCCCTCCTGGTAATTATTGCACAGTCCCTTATTGAAGTGTTATTTCAACCGTATTCCCTGGGTCGGGTATCAAGGGAATACATAACTCTGACCGTCACATCGATATAGCGGATTTCGTATGACTGGACAAAAGCACGGATCACAACACGGACACGGCACGGTCACGGAACCTCGCCTTCTAGGATTTCAAATGAAAGTAAAGATTTTCCAATACATCWCGGCTACGGCACGKTACGGACAGAGCACGAACGTTCCCTGTTTTTTTGCACAGTCATACGAAATCTGCTCTATCAAGATGATCAAACTATCTTTCGACCATACCTGGAAGGTTGGGCGTTCCCAGGAGTCTGCAACCACATCTTTGGATTATTCTACGTGTGTTGCATTCCATCACACACCTGCTTTGCGTGTAATCCTTGAAAGTCTGAAGCTCTTTGCTTCTACATGCTGACTTGTATGGAGCCGGAAGACTGATGTACTAAAAAAGATGTAAAGCCTGGTGTAAAATCCTGATTTCATAGAGGAACTTCCTTTTTTTGGATGTCAGTTTAATGGARAATAAACTACTATAGATGTTAGATTGCGGTAATAGAATAATGTAAAGATATGATATGCATGAGGACCGCATGACATTATGATAGAATGCAGATATAGAAATGGAAGAAAGTTATAGTGTTTAGAAGGAGGCAAGACCCTTTAGGAATAAATTCGGAAAAAAATAATTTCCGACCTCGCACTGTTGTCTACTATACTAAAACAGTTCATGGTCGCTCACATTGAACTGGAAAAAGGCTTATTACGATGTGAGTTGATGGACATTTTTTCTATGGATCAATTATAGTGCTGTCTTACTTCTGCCCTTCGGATTTTTATTGTTGTCATGTGACCTGGCATAAGATCGAAGCCATCSATCTCTACCATGGGTTCCTCATCTTGATCGTGGATTAGCATTCGTATTCCTGTATTAAAGTAGCTCGTAATCCCATAATATTCATCTTTGTTTACATCAATTATTAAATGTAGGCCACGGACTCGTTTAATGGATGATGAGAAGAGAAGGRGATGAYCRTCTCGTCCTGAATTGAATGTGTGGCAAAGGCCATACTATGAAAAACAAAAATAATCCCATTTTAAAACATTGATCAGTTATATTCTTCTAACGTCATATTTGTTTGGGCGAATTGCATCATGGTAGAGATAGAACTATTAAGAAGGTGGTAAAAAGAATTAGGGAGGACGAAGTTTCAGCTGTCGATAGACCTAATCGGCTAACGGCGTTGCTATGTGCGTTGCCACCCAATTCAAATCCTGTGGGAAAAAGAGCTTTTGTTTCTAAGAATTCAACTGTGGAATGAAAATACAACGAACAATGAAACTTTCTCCCAGGTGGTTTGAATTGGGTTGAAGCCGATTCGGTCTATTGAGACCGAATTAGGATAATGTCACTTAACCATGGACTAGTCTTTTAAACTTGGATTTACGACAGTAGTAACGTGTTCGGTATGTCAGAACTATGTTATTATTTTCTGCCTAGGGGAATATAATGTGCCCTGCCGGGCATAAGAGTCACCTCAAAGTTTTCCCAAAATGTGAAGTCCTCAAAAGAGGACATGGAGATATCAATTTGATATTCATCACTTACAATTGGTGAAAACCGTGTCACAGTGTTGACATTTAAGACGCTGCATAATTCCTCGTCCCATGTGCACACCTTTATCATATCTTCTATAGTGTGGCCATACTTCAAAACAGCTTTCTTGATATCAAACGAACTGCTTAACGTCTTATTTGGAAATGAATTGGGAGAAAAATGTCGCTTGATGACGTTCACTTGGTCCAAATAAACCTGTGCATCTGTGCCGTTGATTTTAGATTTCTTCATCATGTTGGCATTACATAGGGTGATCGCTGGAAAAATTTGTTTGTCGTTGGAAATGATCTCTCTAGTTATAACATGTTCCTTCGCTTGTAGCTTTTTAAAACTTTCTACAAGTTGCCTTCCCAAGAATCCCAAGCCTGTYAAGATCATTAACAACCAGAAAATTCGACGRAAGATCCCTCTGTCACGYCCGATAACAAAGTGAGCTCCATGGAGAGTGGTGTARCCAGAAAAGTCTTCAACGCGTTGCTTTAGATATAGTCTTTGACTTGGTAAATGCTGCTTTCTTGTATTTTCGGCCATTGTTCAAGAGTGCGGTACACTCAATAACATCTTATAATGTCGAAAACACGCGATATGTGTTCCCACGCTTATAGCAATTAATAATTAACATCTATAGGTGAACATAACCTCTTCTATGGGACAGCTGGTAAAAAGTTAGTAATAAATTATATTCCTTTTCCTAGTTGAAAGATACTTTAACACTTTTTCCCGGATAAGATTAAATTGGGGTTCATTCCAATCAGGATCAAACATTTTTTCCCAACTAAAKTGAAACAATCGACGTTTTTCTTTTAGTTTATTAGTTCTCTTYTTTTGTTAGCTAACAATGTCCTTCTAAAAGGCAATTAGTTCATTTATCGTTTCCTTAGATAATTGAGCTGATAGCTGTAACACAATTAACAGRCATAGTCAAATCTTTTTACAAGGCCCAATCAAAGTATTTACAGCAACTTTTATAAAACAGTCTAATTGAATAATTTCTTGCAAGTATTTGCATAAGAAACACTTTGAATTGGCTGGACGAGAAAATAATTACGAAAAGTAGCAATCCTAATATTTTATGAGCTGAAACTTTTAGGATCAATTAGAAGTTTAAATTACTTGGCCTATTTGTTGATTAGACCTCGTTATTTAGCATAAAATATTAAATATTCGGAACGAATAGGATTTTTATGTTTTTAATGCCTATTTATTTTGCAGTATTATTCTAATTTTATATGCTATCCATATTAGAATATCTTAAAATTTATCGGAGTACTGCGCATAGGCAGGAATCATGGCGTAGCAGCAGAAGTACCTTGTTGTGCCTAAGTACTGTAAACTACATTCTCATACGGCTTAATTACTCGTGAGGTATCCAGCCAATCCTTGATCCTAATTTGTACCACGAGCTGTAACTGGATCTCCTACCTTGTATTCTACCTTATTTCCAGTTACTTTTACCTTATTTACAGTCACTTCTACCTTATTTACAGTTACTTCTAATTTTTTTGTAACTTCTACTAGCTAATGATAATCAAGCAGACAAAGACAATTTGAACAAACAGTGCTTCAGTGTATTCAAAATTATGAAAACTGAAAACCTTGGTGGAGATGTAATAAATCAGTATATTTCTGTTATATGTATTTCCTTCCGGCTTTTTTCGCCTCCCGAATAATTAATGAGTATGAGAATGTAGTTTACAGTACTTAGGCACAACAAGTTACTTCATCCAGCCAATCCTTGATCCTAATTTGTACCACGAGCTGTAACTGGATCTCCTACCTTGTATTCTACCTTATTTCCAGTTACTTTTACCTTATTTACAGTCACTTCTACCTTATTTCCAGCTTCTTTCTACTTTTTTCTAACTTCTACTAGCTAATGATAATCAAGCAGACAAAGACAATTTGAACAAACAGTGCTTCAGTGTATTCAAAATTATGAAAACTGAAAACCTTGGTGGAGATGTAATAAATCAGTATATTTCTGTTATATGTATTTCCTTCCGGCTTTTTTCGCCTCCCGAATAATTAATGAGTATATGAGAAGTCGTTCAAAGTCCTCCAATAGACCTCTGCAGCTTTTACGTCATGTACCGTATACGTAATGCATTGTAGGATATGTTTGGGACAAAACATGGCGGATTTCTTTTGTTTTCTCTTGAAACTGATCCCACAATGCATTGAAAATCAAGTAGTGACGTAAAAGGTTCATAAGTCTATTCGGACTGGGCGGGATTTCAACTCCTTGCAATTGATGGTTTTCAATCATTCCCATGAGAGTGAGCAAAACAAAAAGGTCCACCAGTCACGGTGGTGGTTTTCTTTTGTCAGGTCTGCAATGGCGGACATCTTTTGTTTAACTGTCACTCCTGGCAATGGTTGAAAACCATCAATTAGTTAACTAATTCGGAGGAATTGAAACCCCGTCCAGTGCTGATTGTCGGACTTTAAACAAAATGACTTCTTTCATTTGCCTCTCTGACTTGCTCCATTTCGGACCTAGCTCTCCGTCTGCCAAAGCAATAGCATACGATGAAATCAAATATTTCGAAGACTGTCAGGACACTGCATCCCAAAAACAGACCAAGATAGCCACCAACATCAGCTGAAAAATGAAAGAAAACATGAATTATGGAGCTACCTTTACATGATATTATAATATCATAAGTACTTAAAAGTACTTGTATTGCAAACTATAAATGGGTGCTTCTGCTTCTTTGTTTTTCCAGAGTTCGCACACTATCCAAAACGCCAGGAAAGTCRTGGAATTGTATACTTAAGTCTCCAGGTATGAAAAGTCATTGAAAAAATTGATTTGTAATTGTTATGTTGTAACTGACTGAATTACTTTGCTCATTTGCAACTGCATCGTACACATATTTCATGAAACTGCTACTGCCGTATGCTGCACAAAATACGTGTTTTGGCAGTGACCGCGGAGCGGGATCTTGTTTGKGGGGGCTAGCGGCGAGGAGGTACTAGGGAGGTCGGRCATTTCTGAAATCTTAACTCTCGGAAATGCCATTTCCAGCGTTTTGAGGCGTTATCCAAGGCATATTTACCGCAGACACGGTCAGCAATATTATCAATGAAATCCCAAAGACTTCATAAGGAGGCTCTTCGCTTCTTTATTTAAGAAAATTCAAAATGTCGGAAATATTACTGGGGGGCTGTAGCCCCCCAGCCCCTCCTGCTCCGCGGTCCCTGTTTGGTCATTTACTCAATCACAAGTCACGACCTAATGGTCGTAATGGTACATAGTAAATATTTACTTACATCCAAAGTCAGTAAAGTCGTAAGCCAATTTTTCAGAGGTTTTCAGTGTGTTGAGATCATCATAATATATGATCAAATAAATATAATCTTCCCTATAAAAAATGTCAAATAAACAGTAAATACAGGGGTACTGTGCAAATGGAATTTGAATGAAGGTGTTAAATAGGAAAATTTCAATATATTCAATGTATTTTCAATTGAAATTATACGTTGTCCCTATAGATAATCTAATTCCGGAACAAAATCATCAAAATCAATATTTGCTATACGGGGACGTGCCGCTGGGCAGGGTATGGTTTTTGGCCTTGTTGTCTTAAACAGGGTATACATTTCACCCGAAATTGTCTTAAACAGGCTCTACAATTTAGATAAAAGGCCGATATAATTTTTTGTGTGTCATGGACAGGGTAATATTTTTGTAAAAAGCACCGTACAAATAGTAGAAATACCGTTTCACTTTCCCAGGATTAACGTGCTTTAAAAAACTTCTTATTGTCTTTGATGATGTCATTATAAATGCAGTTTTGATGGTTGCGGCGTAGATAGCTATTGCTTATAGTTATAACTGTTATGGTTGTCCTGGCGCCCTTGCTGGGACCGCTGGATTACGTCTTGTAGAAAGGGCTTCTGATTAACATTCCCACTTACCTCAAACGTCTTCTAAACCAATTTGTAGCGGCTTTCGCAAATACATCAATAACAGCATAAGCTGCTAGATAGTCATCGAAAAATGAATCAGACATGAGCACCACTGTGTTAAGCTGTGTAATTTTGTATGGGAATTGCTTGCAAGGTTTAGGACATCCACACTTGGCTCCAGGATTGTCACTTGGCTGACCGTCTGAAAATAAGGTCATTTGTTATTGTTGTTGTTTCTACTGCTGCTGCTGCTGTTGTTATTGTTGTGTTTTTGCTTCCTTCTTCAAATGTTTCAGTAACATCCAGGGCGGGGCGATTGAGATGGCTAGCCATCTCCTTTTGAAGGCTCAAAAATAGAGTACAAACATTAAATTTGTGCAATACTTTCCACTATTTACTACAAAATAGCGTTAATTAAACAATAGAATTAGCATAATTTAGCAGTATTTAGTGGTATTTATGTTGCACAGTTTTAGTGTTTGTACCCTATAAATATAGAAATTATTTCATGAACACAAAAAGCAGCAGCAAAAGCAGCGTTTCATTGTTCGCAGTCCTAAATCTTCAAACTCAATATTTTGATTGAGTTAGCCAAGCTCCTTTAGTGTAACGTTCTGGGTACGGCACTGCATGCATTGGTTTATTAAGATCAATATCATTACCTGGCTAAGTTTATATAATTATATGCGTACCGTATTTTATGAAGTATTTCACCAAAACGGTCTCTGGAAGGTCAYCACGGCTCATAGTTGTCAGATTTGTGAATAAGCAAGACGTTATTTCCTTTGGGTTGCAATACTTTGTACCATTCAATTCTAAAAAAAATTGTTTTAATGTTCAAGGGAGCTGGTTTCCTATCTGATATAGGCCATGTTCATCCTACCAGTAAGTGGTGAAAATGTATTTTATTCAGATAAAACGATATTATTTCGATAGCGTTCATCCTACCTGGTAAGTCAGGCATTCCTAGCAGTCTGCAAGCACACTGTTTGATGACCCTACGAGTGTTACATTCCAAAAGACACGTGCTTTGCGTGTAAGCATTGGAAGTCTTGAGATCTTTTGTGCCACAGGCCGACCCGTGTGGAGGCTCAAGACTGTTGTACTAATAAAGAGATATTTTTCATGGAGTGAATACCTTAGTAAGATACTTGTTTTCGAGAGCTTGAAGTTCAAGGGAAGTGTTTGTCGAGATTCGCATTTCTATATATATTACTACAGTTATGGCTAATAAGTCAAAGACAAAGACAATATACAAGGAATATTGATATAGTTTCTAAAAGTTCATTTTGAAATATAATTGCTGATTCCACCCAATATGGCCACTTTCAAGAAATATTGTGCTCTTTCCATACTTACTTCTGTTCTTTGGATTTTCATTGTTGTCATGTGACCCGGCATCACATCAATCCCATCAGCCTCTACCATGGGTTCCTCATCTTGATGATGGATCACCATTCGTATTCCTGTATTGAAGTAGCTCGTCATGCCATAATAATTAGCTTTATTGACATCAAGCAATAAGTGAAGACCACGGTTTCGTTTAGCAGAACTTGAGGAGAGAAGGGGATGACCATCTCGTCCAGAATTGAACGTATGACAAAGTCCATACTTTGAAGAAAAATAGCAATCCATGGGTTATATATATTTCTTAGGTTTCCGTTAGGTTTTCGTAGTTTCTTTGTTGTTTGTGTTTGTTGGTCGCTAGTTGCTAGGATTTATAGAGAGTGGCGCGTGCAAAACTCAGTTTGCTGAAGAAGGCCGAAACGGCACTTCGGCATTCTTCTTTATATATATATTAGAGTTTGCTGAAGAAGGCTAAAGTGCCGAAACGTCCAATATATATAGYTATTATAGCTTCAAGTTGGTGTTTTGTTCTATTTCATTCTACTTATATATAGATTATATATATCCCAGGAGGGGACTCCCTTATAAACGTTGGTAGGCATGCTCGACAGACGGATTGAAAAGTGACCCTAAAAGGTACACATAAATTAATTCTGGTATCGATTCCGATTCCAGACCCTAAAAGGTACGACCATTTTTGACAAGAGAAAAGATAAAGTTTAACAAGCTTTAGAAAATTAATGTCGATGGTTGTTGACATTTATAAAATCTATTTGTTTATAACACTTCTTCAATTTTTGTTTTCGATGTTCGAAAATTGATCCTAAAAGGTACGAAGTCAGCTCAGGACCCTAAAAGGTACGCGAGGGTTTTATTTTCGACCCCAAAAGGTCCGTCGAGCATACCTACCAACGTTTATAAGAAAGTCCCTCCCGGGATATATATCAAGATTTAGCGAAACTGAAATTCTCTTTCTAAAAGTTGACTCAGTAAACAAAAAAGTTTAGAATAGAACTTTTCTTCAGTACAGAATTTTTTTTTAATAATTTATTGTGTATGTTGCATATAAATTACATTTTTGATAATATTTACAATTAAGTACAGTACAGTACAGAATTATTGTTCCGAGACACTCAGCTAAGATTCCATGTCCAATCGCTCGTGATYATTAGTGTCCATGCCTATTTTTTTGAGAAGGAGCGTAAGTGTGGCAAACTTGCCGGTAATTCCTTTTACTGACAAACTTCTTAGCAAAATCATCGTATTGTGGTCAAATGAAATTTTCATAATTATTTTATAATCTAACATTAAGAAAAACCTATTCGGCAGGTGTTTCCATTTCTTATTTCAAAACATCATGGTCATTTTCTTAACATTGATCGTTTTTTTTTTAATTTTTCCAAGAASCCCATAAATTGCATTTAAAATAGGCCGGTGCTTATTAATATTTTGGTTGAGTATATAATTCATCTTGGTTTTATTTATTCACCTCTTACATCGAAATTTGATTTTGGATCTCCTAAGCAAAACTTTTGCTATTATTTGGGAGTGCACTAGCATCCTGAGACACCCTTTCGTCCACTGACTTCGATAGTAGTATCCAAAATAAACGATTGAGTTTCGAGCGTTATATACGTTATTGCTTTAAACATTTTAATTAGATTTCGTAATAACAACTTACTTATGTAAGCTGTCTATATATTTCCGAATTCCTGCTGCATCTGTGAAATGCAATAATACATGTACCAGTATAGAAAACAAAYATTGTCAACTGTTTACGATAAGATAGATAGTCAGTCTATCTTTAGCTGTTRTCCAACACTTAGATCCGCATATTTCAGTGTCGAGTTGAGTGGCCAAGGTTACGTCTTGGACTCCAAGCTGTTCAACTGGAAATTTTGGAGGACTCGATCCAATTTAAAAATGAAAGACGCAAAAATCCCTCCGACTGCTTAATTGTATTCGGCCAGTAGCCTCATCTAATTTTGGAAGCCACTGGAAATTTTTTAAATTGTCCAGCTTGCGATCCTATTACTCATACATCAACCAAAATCACAGCATTTGTGAAATGCAATCGATTTCCAAATTAAAATATCGRTGAACAGATCTCAGGCTTGGAAAGAGAATTAATATGAATAAACTGGCAATGACAAACAAAAATCAATAACGCCAAAAAGCTTGGTTTGATTGCAAGCAAAATTAATTGAAAAAGTACAGTTTTCAAATAAGCGCGCATCATGCACTAACGATGCCTTACAAGAACTGCCAAGTCTTCTACTCCTTCTCAAAAGCCTTAGCGTTGGCCGAGACGTAGAGGACAAATAATGTTCCAAATGGCTTCAGTGATAAAGGACGGCTTCAATATAAAGTATTGCTTTTAATCAAAAAACTTACAATTTGTGAGAATCTTGTGGTGAAGTTAAGGGGATTGCATAATTTCCCGTCCCAAGTACARACCAATAYCATAKCACTAGCAGTGTGTCCATACTGCAGAACAGCTTTCTCGATATCAAAGGAGCTGCTAATCGTCTTGTTTCCAAATCCTCCTTTTTCGTAATACTTTWTCATGAAGACGTTCAGTTGGTCAAGATAAGCCTGTGCATCTGTGCCTTGAATATCCACCTTTTTCATCATGTTCACATTACATATGGTAACGGCTGGGAAGACTAGTTCTTTTTCGGCAGGAATAATCTTCCTTGTCATAACATGATCATTCGCTTGAAGTTTCTGATAACTTTTTATCAGTTGCCTTCCCAAGAATCCCAAACCAGTTAGGATCAAGAGAAACCAGAACACACGACGAAAAATCCCTCTTTCAGGTCCGACGACAAAGTGAGCTCCATGGAAAGTTGTGTAGCCAGAAAAATCAACAATGCGCTGACTGAGATTTGAGCTTGGAGCTGRTCGACGATTTTCTGCTTCGTTTGCAGCCATCTTTGCAGCGCTGCTTGACATATACTAATAAATTCCATATTCCCTTCAGCTCTCTTTTAATAAATGCTGCCAGGACCGACATGCTTCGCGCYGCTTCTGCGGTTTCATGATTATTTCTGTAGCGGGACCCAATACACTTTCATGAACATCTGTAACTTTTGAAATAACCAAGCCAAAACTATGCCAATTAACATGAATTCAAATCTATCAAATCACATGAGCACATTTAAGCTATTTTCGCACTTCTTTTGGCAAGAATATAAGATAAAATACCGGGACATCACACCTCTCTAACGGTTCTCACTCCACTTATAGGTAACATTACTTTCAAAGGAAATACTCTTCACRGAAATGATATTGGTTTGTACTTGGGACGGGAAATAGAGATGATTTTCATTTATGGAAGGATTAATAGTCAAAATGGTGCGGAG